GGGGGGGGCTGCACTGTAATCCTCTAATAATGTATTTTAATGTTGTGATTCTTGTTCTGTTTTGGTATATGAACTATTACACTGAATAACATTTAAGTGGGTGCCTTCTGTATAAATGTATGATAGTCATTATTATTTTGCTCAGAAAAAAAAATACAATTAAATAGAACAAAATTTAAAGCTGAATTAATCATCGTTTTGAAGTGAGTCAGAAGTAAGCTAAATTTGACAAATTATTCTTTTGTGGACATCCTCATCAAGTATAAAATAAAGAAATGAACATTTTGATGCAGAAAGTTTTCTGTTGGGTTGTGATTGATGTGGGTTATTAACTCCACCTGTCAGTGGTTTTAACTTTGTGGCTGATCAGTGTATAATTAGCTGTATAAAAAAATCGAAATATATAGAATCTCCCTATTTAGGTAAGTAAAGTTGTGTGTGTTTGTTGTATAAGATGTAAATGCTAACCCATATATATTTACTTTCTTACGCGTGCATCAATTAGACAGCCATTTTGAACACATCTCATGAACTCTATGAATTAGTTGGAATTTGATATATTTATTTATATTTACCACAATTGTAACCTTCAGTTTGAGATGACGTTGTGTCCTCACAGAACAAAGTCAGAGAGAGCGCATTCTCCTGCCCCCAGCTATAGGTCAGATTTTTCAATGGATCTACCAACTAACTTCAAAAGCGGAGAAACATTTGGTTTGGATTTAAGGTAAATTTAAATTTTTTCCTCAGTAAATTATTAATTGTATATTCAATATTCTAACAAGCTCTTTTATTCTGTTATCACAAATGTTTATTTTAAGTGAATCCAAAAAAAGAACATGTGAACTCCCAACAATGAAACAAGACCAGGTGGTAATAATCCACTTAAGCGAAGAACCAAGTGATGAACACAAAAATATAAGGTAATTATATTTTGTTTGGTGACAAATTTGGTTCCATTTCAGTTGCGACGTTGGGTGACCAAAATTCATTATCAACTCAACGTCTAACATCAATTTTAATTTGATGTCCAATATCGACGTCAGCTGTCGTTGATATTTGTTGTTTTTAGGTTGTGTAAACCAAAATCCAACGTTATGTCAACATTAAATTGGCGTCAAATACTGACGTCAACCCAATTTTCATTCTCAACCAAAATACAACATCTGTCCGACGTCATGTCCAACGTCAACCTGAAAAACTGTGCCAAAACTGTACTTAAAGTAGTGCAGAAATATGTATATTTATGTTTATGACAGTCGGTAGGTATTGTTTAACATTTTCTCTTCATAGAGTAAAGTCAGAAAGAGCAGCTTCTCCTGCACCCAGCTATATGTCTTTAAGAACAGATTTGTCAATTGATCCACCAACCAACTTCAAAGATTTTCTTTTGGATACAAGGTGCATTTCACAAATTGTACTTATATTTTTGTTTTATTTTGTTTCATTTTATTCAAAAATAAACACATTTTAACCCAATTTTGTAAGACAATAGCTTCGTTAATGAATTAATATGTGGTAAGACAGTGTTGAAAATGAATAAACATGCTTGTTTTTTCAGTATTAAAAAAGAAAGAGAAACAATAACCGTTTCAACAAACAACCAAATGGACAACACATTCATGACAAGGTAACAAAATATGTCATATTTTAATCTTAAACATTGGCAGAAGTCATTAAGATAGCATTCTCTTTTCTTTTCTGTTTGAAACTTTCCAGATCAGAGAGAGCCCCTTCTCCTACGCTGTCTCTATGGTCAGATCGGTCAGTTGAACCATCAGCTAACTGGAAAACTGAAGAACCTTTCCTTTCCACTTCAAGGTGAAGTTATTCCACATTTACTCTTCATGTATCA